CGATGCTGGATTATCACTTTACCAGTCGATGCTGGATTATCACTTTACCAGTCGATGCTGGATTATCACTTTACCAGTCGATGCTGGATTATCCCGTATGCCAATCCCGTAGAGCAAGCTCCCCCCCCCCCAATCTATTAAATCCTGCAATACCTAATTGTGAAGGACTTTATGCACAGAGAGGGGAAATGAAGAGAAGAGTCTTCCCTAAAGACGCCGTAATTATTGTGGGAAACCTAGTGGACAACATGCGCATCGTCACACCTCATGCGAACCCCCTAACCAATCCCATACGGGTCTACTTCTATGATTTTATCCTGCTGGTCTTTATGTCTCAGCAGACCAGTTCGCCGCCTGGATTTTTCTAACGCTCTAAGTGTGTACCTGAACGCACCAAACGCGCGTGTTTGGAATTTCTAAAAGCCGGCTCCCATTCGCATTCACTTTGCAAAAGTATGCCCCCACTGTTATTCAATATCAGCTTATTATATTCACCCAAGTCATTAATGTACTAGCCTTTAGTCTTTAGCATCTAAGGCCTTGCCTCATGGCCGACTGCCAGCACCACTCTAAATCTTCCTAAACCTACCTATCACAGAATTCATGAAAAAGGTGGTTTTACCTTGTTTGTACCCGTGGTACTTGCAGTCAAACCTCTCAGCAACGCCTTCCCCCAACGAGAGCCCCACGTTGGGCGCCAACTGTTAAGGTTTCGGAAGCTCTCGAGGGAGGACTCAATCCCTTGTTCTCGTCCCGGCCGGAAACGAGGACACGAATGAGTCAATTCGTTTAAATTCAAAAATCAAAAAGTATTTAATGACTAAACAACGTAGTAGGGATTACAATTACAAAGTGAAATACTAAGCGAACAGTGGAATATTTCGCGAAATAGAGAATCCTCTGAGCAAGTCTGAAGTGACTTATCAACGCGGCTGCAGGAGAAGTTCTAACAGTCTTTTCCCCGCCATGGTCCTTTGAAAACTCTTGAGGTGTGTCTTCTTTGGTGCATTTGAATGTCATTGGCCTCTTCTCCAAAGGGTCACCTCCTCCATTGTCCCTTCACGTCGAGGTGTGAAGCTGCAGCTGTAACCTGAAACCTCTCTGTCCTAGCTGTCCCTCACACTCCAATGCACTCAATGTAGATACATTCGGCTTTATGCCCCAATGAGTGAATTTAACAAAGCATACATCGTTTAAGTCTTCATCTTATAACTAGTACACTTTCATTACAACAACCCATCATTAATGATCACCGTTCATCACATTTCATCATAAGATCTAAAACAGTTCATGTGGTTCAATTCTCAAGACATTTGCCTCAGTCGGCTGCCTTACATTAAGTTGTTCATTTATTACCTGACAGGAGAAAAAACTCCCAAAAACCCTTTTTGGGGATAAAATTGGGAGAAATCCATAAAGAACGGCAATTGGCATCCGTCCCCAGGTTTTAACATCACATCATGACAGAATGTTAATGTTACAGTGTTTATATGATTTAAATGACTATGAATTGTGTTTGATTCACATTGTATTCACTTCATCTAACATGTTAATGTAATAACTAATATCTAACATCACACAAACTATAATTCTAACACTAAACATTATTACACGTACTATAATTTCCTGACTAGGGGTGCACTTCTGGCTTAAATCCCTAACACATCACACGGAAACCCATCATATCAGGCTGATGCCTTTGAGCTCGGACCAACCAGCGTCCTTTGAGGAGCTTCAGGATGACTTAAGCATTGAAAGCCGATTGTTAAGAGTTTAATGGAGCAAAGAAAGACCACGAAGGCTTCTGGAGAGGATGTCTCTGCTCCTCTGAGCTTCATCCCACATGGTTCTTCCGTTCACCGGTTGATTGTTTTTGTTCTACAGAAATGTCTGCGGGGTCATTCTATGAGCGTAAAAAAGAAAAAATCACCCTCTGATGAGGAAGACGGGGAGCCAACAGAAGTAACGTTCGAGGAAAGAGTCGTATCAGAATCAACCGACGCGGAAAAAAGATGTTATTGTGAAGCAGGCAAACCTGCACGCTGCACAGGTGGATGTCGATAAGCCAACGGAGGAATAAAGTCTTTCCCTTTGGAAATGTTCAGAAACCAATGAAATGGTTTTGTTCAATGAGGAACCCGCACAGCACAGGGTTAACCTTTCGACACGACGTGAGGGATGATCGTGACGGTAGGGACCAAAGTGACCATGATTTGCGGCCGTGCATGAATGGACGGCGGCCTCTCCGGAGCGAAGCCCGAAGGCTTCCTTTTCTACTCATTCACCGCTCATGATTACAATGTGACAGCTCTCTGCGCCACATTACCACTTCCCCACCGAGATGCATAATAACTGTTTTTCCATTAGGAGTCAGTCTCCATGGAGATTTATCAGGAGGGGGGTACAGCTCACTGTGGGGGGGGCGTCTGAGGAGATGCAGGCTTGTTTAGCTACTTAGCCTTAGCAGTAAACAACAATCCACTGGATGTTTTATAAACTGATTGGAGTAGAGATTCTACAGGTGGTTTCATGTTCTACTTTCCTCCCGATTCACACTCCTCCAAACGTCCATCTTTTCAACCTCGTGACATTTCATTTCTGCAGGGAATGTTAACTCCGAACCCCGCATGCGGTCAGGCCGTCTGTCTCTGTGTTAGATTTAACCGGATTAACCTTTACAGTCACCCGGCTCCCCGCTCCACCTTCCTATGCATCACCGGGACACGTTTTCAATCTTCAATTACCCCGTGATGGATGTCATCTAAAAAAAACGAATGAATTCTGCAGCTCGGGGACGGGAGGAGTGATTGTTCTCTTCAATCAATGTGTTGTCATCCAATTGGCATTCAAAGATACGAATTGATCACTTTCGGGAAGCTGCTCTGCAGCATTGGAATACTGCACGTCTCTGTTTAGGGTCCAAGCAGATATGAATCAACACATGAAAATGAATGACACAACTGCATACTTCCCTATAATATGATCCACCGCGACGAGCTAAATGCTAACATTAGCCTCCCGGCCTTTGACCAAACTTGATGACTTTGCAACACCTCATACTTCAAATTCTGTTGATTTCATTTAGGCCTCTGCAGAGATGAGGACTCTTCATTCTTACTTTGCAACTTGACATACGGGCACCGCATGTAGATTCATTTAAATATTTATTAAATCAGACTAGGAAAATACGCTCATCTTGCGCACCATAGCTGATGTAATATAAATGTTAATTAAGATTTGTATAGCGAGCTAGGGATTTGAATATTTCCAATAAAGCTGCTCTCCAGCTCGTGCAATGGAATACAGTATCAGGGTTTAATACTGTACAACATTCATTTCAACTTTAACTGCGGATGCCACCATCAGAAATACAAATGGAGCTGTAGAATTATTTACTAAACGCTGCCTCTGCTGCTAGTTTAGCTCCAAATGATGTTTTTTTTTCCATCCCAGTAATCCATATGATGAAGATGAAGAAGCCAATCTATATGCAAGCGCTAACTGACTAATTCATTTCCCAGATGGAGGGAAAGAAGCAAAATTGAAGGAATTGAATCTGTCAGCTGATACAAACACATGGTGCTCGGTGCCAGACTGAGTCTATATTTGTTTTAAATTAAAAAACGTTCTCCATTTACACGCTTCCTGAGATGACCACCTTGCCAGCAGAAGCGAGGACCGTTTTAATCAGCTTTCCATCCTCGGGCTCGCTATCACGGCTGAACATCTTCACTTGAGCGGCTTCAGTCATTTTTGCATATATGAATAAATTCCAGCGCATCCGGCGAACGGGTGAAGCGTGTTCTGGTATTTGGGTCAAACGGGAACAGCTGTGTGCAATCACGCCACCCACGGGCGCTGCGGACTAGCCGCCGGGGGCTAATTGTGTGTGGCATTGTAGTTGGCCCTCATTAACCTGACTGCGTTACCTTTTACTGTGGCTTCAGAGCAGCCGCGTGTCACCGCCCAGCTCCCTTTACAGACTCACTAACAGAGTGGAAGTGACGTACTGAAACCTTTCAAGGTCATTAATGCTGTAGTCGCTATAATAACACACACGGAACCCTGCAGAGGTCAGACCGGTTCTTTACCCTCATGTATGAAAGGATTCACCTTTTTTCACTTTTGGCTTCCCGTCTCCTTAATGTTGAGCTGTTGATTTTATGATTTGATTGTGTTTTTGATCCCATCCCACCTTGTGTTCTGCTAAAATCAGGCAAATACCTTTTATTAAATGAAGGCGTTGCGGAATGGTGAAGAAGTGATGTCCAGGAGACACCAAACAAACGCACCCGGCTGACTTCTGCTCAGCGGTGCACGCTCTCCTCTCGAGGACAAGTCGAGCCAGGGTCACAATCGGCCTCCGGATGCCGCTGTGTGTGTGTGTGTGTGTGTGTTTCCGAACCGGACAACTCCTTAATCTGGAAGTGCAACGAGTGAGGAGACGGCTGCTGGACTGGAGGATGAATCCCGCATGAGTGTCCTGAGGTTTGGCCTTGATTCTTCAGCACTTCTGAGATGGGAAGTGATGGACTTTCTCTTAAAGGCAGCAACCCAAGCCTCCCCCATCATTTCTGCACATGGATCAATATATCAGGTCTTTGGTTAAACACTCACAAGGTCTGTGCATCAAAGTAAGAGACTCATGTGGTTTCATATATCTTCATTTACACCATTATTTGAATACATTCCTTTACAATAACTACAGAAAAAATAAATCTTGAAGGAAAGTTTCCATTGAATGAAAAAAAAACCCAGGAGACGACAAGCTGCCTTCAGGGTTCCGCATCTGACTGACGTTAATTCGACTGCGCGCCGTGCGACTTGTCATCTAAAGCGCGTTGTTGCGCGCCGAACGACACGAGTTGTAATTAAGCCGCTCTGTGTTGACAGAAGATGCACAGCAGTGAGAGGAGAGGAGGGATCTCTAAGAGGCACCAAACCTTTACAATCTGTGAGCAATTATGTCTGTTTCCACTTTACAATGAAGCCAAAAGGGGTCTTTGTCCTTCAGTTCATATTTATTTGTAAAATAAAGTGTCGATCATCGAACAGTTCAACATATGAGAAACATTTCATTTGACTGATAAGAACACAAATATTTATCTACAATGGCGGTGAGTCTGAGCCTTACAACAGTTTTGATATATACCGTTTCTTTTTTTATACATGAACTGAAAATACAAAGTTACAGTAAACATGCCTTCTGATAAAAATATCTTTACAAAAAAAATGTACATTTCTATACAGCAGTTGTCAGTTACACCACAATTCTGGTTTAAACCGCAACGACGCCAACAAACTGTCAGTATATATTTTCAGCTTTATTTGAAATGTCTCTTTCAGCCGATTAGAGTGTGAAATAAACATGAGCAGGATTATGTACAAGGCAAACTAAACAAGTTGAAATATTTGTGACCCAGATAAATTACAACAGTTGAAAGCAATGAGTTTTTGGGGGGGGGTATTTTTGCAAAATATTTGACACATCACCATACAGCTTAGTAAATAACAGACTACCAGCAAAGAAGATACACATGAAGCAGAGCCATTTCCCATAAACATTGTTTTTGTATCCAAAAATAGTGCTAAATATTACACATTATCATCATTCACCAGACACTTATTTTGAATGAGAGTTTACATTTTTTTTTTCAGGCAGACCTGCCAGGTTTGATGCGTTCATGAAATAATTATAATGATAATTAATTCTCTGTTCCAAAGGTCGTTTCAACCAAATCATAAAACAATGTTTTGTATACGATTCGTTTTATTTTCCCAGGTTTTGGGCCAATGAGGGTGAATTATTTTTTATCGTGATCAAAACATTGACCAATTACATACAAAGAAAAGGCCACGGTAAAAAAAAAAAAAACAGTCCACATCCATCGTGGTTTGAAATAATCCCAATGCTGAAATGTTTTCTATGACTGGAGTCAATTGTGTCCCGACCTCGCGTTCCAAGTAGACTTTTTGGTGCATTTTGGTTGAAACAACTAATTTAAGGAAAAACAACCCGGAAACGCGTGATTGAAATATAACGGCAATTGAGGCCTTCTGCAGATGATCGCTGAGATCCTTCTGCAGGAGCCGCATTTAAAAGGTTCGACCGATCACGTACGCAAGTAATCTTCATCAGGTTGTTTTAATGCTGCAGCCTCTGTGTCACGTTGGTTTATTCCACATGAACTCAGTGTGGGAGATGGGCGAAGGGGCGTCGGCTCCTGACCGGCGGCGGCGCTGCGTGACAAGCGGATGAAGTTTGGCTCGTGCGTGACTCAAACCCCCGAACCGGACGACGACGTCTCATTCGTTTTGGGAAAATCATTCAGGTGCTCGCAGATTGTTTCCGACCGTCTCTTTTGGTTTTGGAGCAACATGAAATTCAAGGGGGGGAAAAAAACAAAAAACAGATTTGATTCAAAGCAGCGACGGTTCATCATCAACGTCGTGTTCCCTTCTGCCTACGTAATTCAATTCATGACATCAGAATAAAAGCCTTTTTTTTGTTCCCTTCCGTTTTATTTTTTCACAGACAGGATTAGCACATTACAGCCTCTTGGCGATGGAATACAGCTCGCACAGAACATCCAGCGGGCCGGCGCGTTGAAATGAGTCTTGAATACATTTTCTTTAGAGAGCGCGTTCAGGTTCGATTTGAGCTGCGCAGTTAGGCGTCTAGATGTGATTCAGCATCCCTTGAACACAATTTACAGTCCAGAATGAGAGTCCTGATCCTCCAGAGATCCCGTTCTGTCTCTGGAAGGTGATGATGATTTCTAACAGCACTGACCCGGGGTGTCCGCTGCCTCGTCCTGAAGAGATGAAGGAGAAAACTGGTTGAAAACACATTACAGGAGCGGCTCGTCCTCAAACATTTGGTGGCTATTTATACCGCAGTAAAACCGGTTAGTCAAGAGTTTTAAAGCTTGTCCGTTTTTTCAGAAATCAGGAAGTGCAGAAAATATCTTCCGCTCGCCCGAGAAGCGGCGGCTCTGATCCTTCTGGCCGTGACTCATGGAGGTTCTTCTCACGGTGGCTTGTGTCAGGTTGTTCAATGTGCAACGGATGAAAAATGGAGGATAGGTGATGGAAAAGTGAAGTTTAAGGTGGTTTCTTAAGAGGTGGATAGAACGTCCGGCCGAGCAGAAGAAAGAAAAGAAGGAAGCTGTGGGCGTTTTTCTAAAAAGAGACAGATTTATGGAGTAAATGGAGCTCAATAATCCTACTACAAAATGAACAAGGAGCTGAAATGCAGCAGCCAAAGTGAACAACTTAAGCTAGGGTTTATGTAGCATTATCAGGGTACTTTCCTGTGCACAGTTCATTAATGCGTGCTGTCAACCGTCTACATCATCTTCTAGTTTGACCTTTTGGGACAAAAACAGTTTCAGCTTGTGTTTCCGAACAAAAGCAGAGCTCTGGCGGTGAAGCAAACGCCCGATGAAAACGTTTCTAGGTTGGTTTTAAAAGAGCAGGAAGCATGAAACGGGCGTGAGAATGTAATCACGCATCTGCTGCATCGTCAGCTCGCTCGCTGGGAGGAAGCGGGCAGCCGGCCCTCCGCGGCCCCTTTCCACACCATTCAATTAGAGGGACGTTGTTTATGTGACGTTCTGGCCCATCGGATCACCATCACTTGTCCTTGAGTTTGAGTTTGGCATTGTGACGGCGCTCAGCGGAGCCGGCCTTCTAAAGGTCACGGGGCTTGTGATTTAGGAGATGAGTAAGGAGCGTTTAGGGAGGAGGACGTTTATCGAGGAGCGGCTGAAAGGTCTCAAACAGAGAGAGTGCTGGAATGGATGAATCCTCACCTGATCTCAGTTGTCAATATCCGATACGTGGTTCTCTATCTGAAAAGGGACGAGAGAGAGGTTGAGGTTTTAATGAAACTTTCCCAACAGTCTTTGTGCTACGTTTTATGGATCCGTGATCAGAGTGACCTTCAGGGGGCACCAAGGTTTCACCTGCTCAACAGCTAATGAATATGTACAGTATAATAGAGAAATTAGGGTCAAAAGTAACCTGAACCCACATGAGACCGAGGACGGTTCCTCTGACCTTGGTCTTGAAAAGCTGTGCAGGGTGAAATCAAACAGAGCGACCACAGAGTTTACTTCTGAGAGCAATTAGATCTTTTGGTTGGATGAATTCTGATGATTACCGGGTTAAAATAAATTGTAAAATGTATTTTTTTTTTAAAGTGACTCCCCAAAAGCCTTCAATCCCACTAATGAGGGACAGTATGAACCATTTCAGACCAAACCAGGCAGCGCGAATGAGCTCTCAAACAAATGACAGATCACATTGTCGGTAAAAGACTGGTTCCATCGTACTACTTATTTAAATCTTTTTTAAATGAAATGATATTCTATCACTTTTTTTACTGCGTAATGACTGAACGATCTGCACGGATCAGCTCCTGCTGCCGTTCCTGCACTTTCTCAGAAACCTTTCTGCGCTCTTCTTGGTCCGTCACGTCGAGCTCAGATTCACAGCCGGTCGGGTCTTAAACGCTCGTCTTCTAGCCCTCTGTGTGTGTGTGTGTGTGTGTGTGTGTGTGTGTGTGTGTGTGTGTGCGTAAAGAGCCTCGGCGCCTCAGTTTGAGCCGCGGCCGACGGGGAGAAGCTGTCAGTCTGGCCGCTCTCACCGTTCACTCAGATCTGCGGCCATGAATAATTCTCCAGAAATGAACTTTCGGCGGGGAGGGTTGTCCGCCCACTCGAGATCTCCCAGAGTGCACTGCTCCCCCCCCCCCCCTCCCCGTGAAGCCCGTTTCTCTCACCAGATGGTGGTTCCCTCCTCGTCGTAGTCGTCTCGCCGCCGTCGGTCATCTCTCCCGCCCTCACGTCCAGGGCGCCGTCGCCCCGCCTCCTCCCCGGAGTTTTCCGCCGTCTCTGACACGGACTCCTCGTGCAGGGAGTCGCAGTTGTCCTCGTACTTCCTCTGAGCTTCTGAGCGAGAGAGAAGGGCACAGACAATTGTTCTTTTTGACCCCCCCACACAAGCTGCACGCAGGCGGTTTGTAGCCCGGCCCGCCCACGCGAGACTGCAAGCGGGAGGGAGACGTGGACGAGTCCCGAGGAGGGACGGGGGGGGGGTTTGGGGCCGAACAAGACATTTTTAGAGTAACGTGAATTAAATGAGACGCGGGGCGCAGCCGCATCTGCTCGCGTGCGTCGCCGCTGCCCAAAAGATCCCCCCGCAAATGACGAACGGTGCATTCTGGGTCAGAACGGCTCCGACGGGCCTCCTTTCCTCTCAAGATGCATTTTGAGAGATAAGAACGGATTTATTTCTTGGTCACGAGCCGCAGGAGCAAAGAGACGCGGGAGAACAATACACGCTGCGATGTGCCGAACAGCGTTCACACACAAAGGCATTTTCATTTTGCATCGACAAGTTTATTTGCGCCGAGCGGCCGATGAATGTTTGACTAAACTGATTCTTGTCTCTTGAATTCTTTTTGAAACGTAAACATTGATGCACAGGTGTCTCTCCGTGTGAACGCACCAGCACATTTCAGTCCTTCCACCGACTGGAGTGAATATAATCCAAAACAGGATTTGCTGCTATAAGTTAAGCGGCAAATTCAAAACTCTGACCAACCCAATTAAAGTTTTCACCGGTCTTGGCTTTGGCCCCAAGTGACGTTCAGACAAAAAAAGAGACGAAACGCAATTTATACATAACGGGAATTGATTTTTTGAAAGTTACCTTGACTATAATTGCTAAAAAGATGAGTCGGTATTTCAAACACGCACGCCTCTAACCGTGCAGAAAACAGCATTCTCCTTCCAACCACAAAACCTTGGATTTCTTTTACTGCACTTTTATTTCCCCCTTTGGACAAATGACACGCAGCGACCTGCTGAGAGATGAGCTCTAAATGACCTTCACAGTGAGCTCGGGTCTCCTAACTCACCGGACTCGGCCCTCTGCTGCTTCTCGATCTTCTCCAGGCGGCCCAGCAAAGAGTCGATCTTCAGCTTGATCTGCGTGAGCTCCCGCTTGATGGTCTGCAGCTGGTTCGTCTTCACCGCTGAGGGACACGAAACACAGAAAAACGGATTCACTTCCGAGCCGATTTCATCCGTGCTGCTGCGTCGCGCACGCAGCTTCATAACGGGGGGCCGCATGCCGCCATCCGTTAGCGCTCTTAGTTCTTAAACATCATACTACTCGCATTCCCACCGTCCTCATCTCAATCAGGCCAACCGCAAAGCCACCCGGCTGAAGATGTGGACCTGCTGCTTTCAATTTGCAATTCAGTGCAGAGATTCAATGAAGCCAATTTCTGCCATCAGGCGATTAGGTTTTACACCTCAGGAGAGCGTCTGCTTTATTGCTGCGTGTCGTAAATGTCGGGTTAAAGGCTTCATGGTTAAATTCACAAGCGCCGCCTCTATTCAGAACACATCTACATTACGTTGTTACTTCGCTTTGTAGTAGTTTTCCAGTGTTTGCTGTTAGGGGGCTTTTATTTGGAAGCAGTCAAAGGTCAATTAACCTCTTGCATTGATTTTAAGCCTGACTGCCGGTGCATATCTGAGTTTATTATTCACATTCATTTTTTATTGCTACGCACAGTAGATCTCTGGAAGATTCCCAGGAAGGATAATTGAGAGGCGGTTGAATCGGTAAACGTCCTCATGTGAGTTTAATCAATTGGTGGCAAAATCTCAGGTTCAGGTCAACTGAGCTACACAAGATTATAGATAATTATATTAAGATTATACTTTTTTTCTTGAGTAATGGAAATTGACTGAAATGCTAATCAACTCGACTAGCTTTACAATCCCATTATGGGACATAAAATGACCAAACTCATGATGAAAATCATCATGAAATCACAACAGTAAATCAATATATTTTAAAACGTTAAATGGATTTAAACATTTAGGAGAAGCAGCTGATAGAAAAAGGTTGCTTTGCACATTTACATGCTTAATTTTTTTCCCTTTTCAGACTAAATTTAATAGTGATGCTAATCGGCACTAAAATGAATTAAAAAACTAACCATATCAATGTGTTTTGATTGTATTTTTTACTTTCAAACCCTCACTGCAGCAGTGACGGTACGTCAGGAGAAACAAGGGACCCTTTGAATAATCCTTCTCGCCCTGTGTGCACGCCACGGTGCACATCCCGGCTTTGGGTAAATGAGGCGGAACTGTAACTCATGCTGGAGTTTGAGTTTTAACCCTCAAGTGTCACGTGCAAATATGGAATGAAGAAAATGAAAACGCGTCCGCGGGACGTCGCCATTAATTCAATCGGGCTGCCGAGGCGATGCCGTGCCGCTCGGCGGCTCGACCCGAGCACATTAAAGAAGAGGACCGTTAGAGAGGAGAGGTGATCTGGCGGCTGGAACGTGTCGTCTTCTGAGGAAGAAAAACAACAACAAGGGTTGAGGGAGAAAACCTAAAATCTTCTTTGACACCCGTCAGGTCCTGTCGAGGGGGGCGAGCGGCGGAGAATCGGGAGGCGGGAGACGCGCACGGAATCAGAGCGCCGCATCGCCTTTGAGTCGGCTCCTCCGATGAGTGTTGAGGGCCGCACCGCATCACCGCACGTCCTTGTGTGTGCGTGCGTGAGCCCAACCAACGCGTCAATCAATTACAGATGGAAAAAAGGGAAATTATTGATTAGCTCCCATTTAATCTTTCACAAGAACTCATGCTGAGGGAACAACAGAGTGATATGCGTCACATGCACCACGAGGAGGACCCTGGTTCCTTTCAAAAAACCCCCCTTCCCAGACCCCAGAAAGGGGGCCCCCCCCTCAACCCCTTCGGAAGATTTTTTATCCCCTTGGGGGTTTCGGGCGAAGGAAAAGGCGCAGGGTTGGGGGGCCGCCCCCCCCCCCCCCCCCCCCCGCTTGCTTGTTCCTGCCGAGGCCCGAGGACGCTCGGGGCGGCTCACTTTGAAGATAAAGAAGTGTGGAACAGTTCTTAATTCATCGCCACCTGCAGGCATTTTCTCCTTTTGCGGCATCAGTCGCACGAGCTGCAGGCAGACAACGTATGCGTCCTAATCCAACGCCATCTTTATCTAGATTGTGTTAAAGGAACAGGCGGGAAGTGTCATCGCTATTCAACAAGCCTTATTAGATACGATTTAAGAGTATTGGATCTACTTTTAGAAGATCACGTTACTGTTACATTTTCATCTTGGGGATGGTATGGTTCTGTTCCACCGGACGCAGCGTTATGTTGCCGCTGGTGAAGCCGATATAAGACCTTGTTTAAATAGTCCATCCGGTTGGGAAGAACAAGGAGGATCCTGTGAGGCCGATTTAAGAGACTTCAAGCCGTAAAACCCGTTTAGCAATAAATGCAAAAGACTTTTAGAACCGCCCCCTTTTGAGCTGACGTGGCCCAAATCGTCCCTTTGCCCGAGGAATACGTCACAGTAAAGATGCTAAAGACTATTTCACTTATGCTTAATTTATGCAACAGACAGGAGGACAATTGGAAATGAATAATATACAAACTGCATCCAGCATGAGGGTCTTGAGAAATACAGAACTGAATACATTTTGTGGCTCATTCCCAATTTATCAGTAGAACAAAAACGCTTCTCCTTAACAAACACAAATAAGACAAATCGGGCCAATCACAAGCCAACAATCAACATCGCCATTAACACACAAGTCTATCCATCCTCGGGACGGCGGTTGTTTTTGTTAAAGTGAATTATTACTTGTGCAGCCCGAGCGGTACCAGCACCCCCCCCTCCCCCCAACTCCATCGAGGCCAAAGTCAATACACACTGTAATCTTTCGCTGCACCGGCGGGGGGCGAATTAGCCAAACTAAGCGCTGCTTAGACAGAGGAGAGAATTCATTGACTCCTTCCAAAAAGAGATGCCCACCCCCTCCCTCCCACCCCCCCTTTTAATACCAGCTGCAACTGGGTCCCCCTCGCAGAGCTCGCCCGGCTGCCCGCGCTGATAGCAGCGGGCCTCGCTGGAACAAACGCTGCAGCCAATCACCACCAGCGGAACGGCGAGGCGAACCCAGCGGGCCGCGGCGCCGCCAGATCCCACGTTAATTACGTTCAGGGCGGCTTTGATGCGCCGACCAGCGTAATCAAAGGCGATGCGGGCGGAACCTGGGTGGGTGTGGGGGGAGGGGGGGGTTAATTTTGTGTTTGCGGTTTCCCGTTCTGCTGGACACGGGTTTGTCGCGAGCTGCCGGAGTGAATGAAAGATGTTATTTTTTATAGTGGGGCGGCGCGAGTAGCACAGCAGGATCATGGCGACGTCTTCTCTCTCTGAGACGTGCGTTTGGGATCCGCATTACTTTTTTTCTTTCCTCCGTTGAAGGACAGAATGCATTTGATGTGCTCTTTCAAAAACAAATGTGAGCGCTAAAGTGTAAACACGAGATGAGTAAGAGACGTGTGTGTGTGTGTGTGTGTGTGTACGTACGTTTGAGCCCGGGGGAGGAGGTGGGAGGTCTGGAGGATGAAGAGGAGGAGGAGGAGGTCGTCTTGATGGGGAAGGAGGTCTTGCCGCGGCGGGAGGACGGAGCGAGCACCCTGGAGCGTTTGACGGGGATCACGGCCCTCGGTGGGGGGGCCACTCTGCCGTGATAGTCAAAAAGCCTCCAGAAAAAAGAGGAGATACATATTATTACCCGTCACTTCTTACACTTTTACTTCTTTCATAAGAGGCCCTCGAGCCGTCTGAAAGTGTCCTTCTACTGCTTAACGGTTTATTTCATCTGTTTTTAGGGATACGCTGCTTTCATATATAGATACTCTATAACAAAATGAAGATGTTACTGTTGGAATCTCTTCGGTGGGACATGCAAGTCAAACCAATCCCATGGCCCGTCTCTCTTTGAAGTGGAGAGGATGGGAAAAAAAAGAGGCTGCCGAATGTCAAATGAAGGCGTCGACGGCGCTCAGCGACAGTAGTCGTCCGTCGCGGCTCTCAACAAGTCTGACATTTGGAAAATGTCTCCACAGATAAGCAGTCAGATCACTGGCGGATAAATGACAGAGAAGACGAGTGTTCCTCCACTCGATCTGCATGCCTCGTCTGTTCGGCCATTTTGAAGTTGACTGCTTTTGAAGCAGCTTCGTGAACTTCAGCTCACAAGGGTCACGCGTCTAAGGGGGGGGACCTGTTGAATTAACCCCGCCCCCTCCCCACGCGGCCAGCGGCCAATCGTAGTTCAGCTAACCACAACCACGCGTGTCAGGTCAAGAGCAGCGATCGACCATCGAGCGCTAACGTTTGCTTAATTAGCTCCCTATAGCTTATTAAATCTGCCAGCGAAGGTTAGTAGCAATGCAAAGTCTGCTTCCCTCTTGATCTGAAATGGACAACGTATTGCTGATAAAACACTACTTTGAGTTAAATCTGCGACAGAGAAGTTTGAGTAACACGACGCGAAGGATACGTACCGGCTGTAGAAATCATCCCTGTAGTACTCGTAGTCAAATTCATAGCCGCTATGAGAGAGACAAAAAACGGGACACAGGGACAAACATATGAAGACAGAAATGGGTTGCATTAAATAAAAATACAAAAGCAACAACATTTCAGTAAACAGATAAGTCAGAATGGAAGTCACATTGTTTCTTTGACCTCGGAGAGGAAAAGCCACGTTAAGTAGGCTGCATGTTACGTGTGAGAACTAATTGATAATTTAGGCAACGAGAAGAAATAAAGACAAAAGAAGAGATGAAGGAGCTGCTTTAAAATGCTGCTATTTTCTAATTCTAATGAATGTTAATGCATTTCTATTATAACTTAGCGAGGTCTAGCCTTGGGTTTTTGTTTCTGCTTCACAATTACCACATCACATCCTGGCTGTTTGCAGCCGCGGCAATAGAATGCAAATTAGGGTTAATCCTAACACAAAGCATGAAGTAATACAATTAGACATGCAATGCAACTCAGAAGGAAGTTAATTAGTGGGAATATCCACTTTGCTAATTGACAAACTATCACACAAAACTGTCCCAGTGAAGGAAATGTCACATTGGACGGCTGTAAACAACCGCAGCTTTGTGACTTGGAGGTGTGTGTGTGCGTGTGTGTGTGTGTGTGTGTGTGTGTGAATGAAGCTTACACAACAGCATCTCCTTTGAGCTTTACAAGCATGAGTTCAGTCATGGCGGAGAAATGCAGAGAGCATTACAAACTCTATTAGAAAGTCAGGATTCAAAAGAAGAACGCCTCGGCTTCAAAATGGTACACGTGTTGTTATTATTTTCTGCAGCTTTGCGTGTGAAGGGGCATGTTGGGGGGGGGGGGGGGAGGGCAAACGTTACCTGTAAACAGCTGAGAGCGGCCGCTTGTGGCCGGCTTTGGGCCTGTACGGCTTCGGCTCGCCAGCCATGTTTATGTCTGCGAAAAACACAAACAAGTCAGATTTATTGTGACGCGGTTTATGGGCATTATTGGTGGGATTCCATTCAATGATCAACAGACATCCTTTCTTCACTGCAGTGAAGTCTCCTTTAGAAGATGGATGTCGTTGAAACAGCTTCTTTTCCCCGTGATTTCAATAGTACTGAATTACAGCTCAAAGGCCTGACGGAGCACAAAGGAAGCACAAGTACTACTACTTGTAGCACAAGAAGTACTACTTCAACAAGTGAAAGATCTATTTCATCTCTGCAATAAAAAGGGGACTTTTAAAAGCTGCAGTACGCCAACGTCAAGGTGCAACAACGGACACCATCTACAGCTGGAGGCCATCGCGCACTGGAAAGAAGCAAAATCAAAACCCTGTTGTGAGGCAGGAGGGGACCCTCGAACACATAAAAACAGCAAAAAATAAGAAAGTATACGACCAAAAAGTGCAAAAAGAGCAGAACCAGCTCTGATAGCCAGCCGCTCTTGTGTATAAAAATGAAAATAATCAGGTGTGGCGTTTTACGACCAGACCAGTCAGTGATGCCGCATTTATCAAATGGCTATGTGCGCATTGCCAAGGCTGTCGCGAGGTCCTGGGGTTTTGTGAACAGCCTGAGTGGCTTCCAGGAGCGGAGCCAACGCGTCAAAACAAGAACCCGCTCCAAAATAATAATAAAAAAAAAGAAAGAAAAACACTCAAAAATGCCAAGAAAATAAAAAAAATGCATGCAAGCTGAGATAAGAATGTTTCCACGTTGGTGCAGGAGAATAACGCGTGAGTGAGAAGTAGACAGACTTATTTTTGCGGGCCAGTAGATACAATTTAAGCAAAGCACTTTTGATTTTGTCCCTTTCATCAATGCACACGTGCTTAAATAATGTATGCGTGTGCTTGCCCTTTGCCTCCCCCCCCTCCCTCCAAATACCAACGGGGTCCCTGGGAGTAGAGCTGCAATGGGGTGAGAATAAGCTTCAGGCAAAACTCCTGCCTCCTCCTCCCTGTGGCTGCTCTCCTGATGAATAGGATTAAACCCAGTTCAGTTTGTATGCCGCCTACTTAAGACATGCCAACACTCACTTTACGCAGAGCTGCATGACTGAATGAGTGTGTGTGTGTGTGTGTGTGTGTGTTGCATGATGGGAGTGACTGTGATGCTGATTTAGGAGATAATTGGGACTTTGCTAATTAACCTGAAGGTTTGCTTGGAGTGGCAGACTGACCCTTTAATTAGCCCACGGACATACAGCTCAATATAATTGGCATCCAAAACCTCCAAGAAATCTACCCCTCCAACCTCCCCCCTGATGCCTGATCGTCCTGCCTGTCCACAGAACGAGTTGCTTTACGGTTCATAAGAGCCGGATCCTCGCCGCGACGCCGCACAGCAGAACTTCCGCACACTCGGAATGAGTCTGTGCGAATGAGTCTGGTTCAAGAGTTCAGGCCGATGCAGCAAATCAATACCACGTTTTCAGCATTGTTTTAATTTGACCTCCATATTGCAGCAGTGTTGTCAGGACACCTATTAGTGTTCTTGCAAAGCATCAACGCGATGAGAGTTTTGCAGAAGTAATCATCAGTAATGTGGATTTAATGACTTATGGGTAAAGGCAACAATTAAAAGTTCAGTAACATCCTTTTCCAGCAGCCGTTAAATCCTTTTGTAATATTTAAACATCCAAAATCTACTCTCATATCCCAGCAGACATAATGTACCCACCAGCCATAGTTTTTCATTGTAATTCTGAACGGTTTTGATATTTGAGCAATCGTTTCAGTCTGCTTTGAAGGAGAAAGTCAAACACTTCTGAAATATGAACTGTTCTTTTACAACATTGTATAAATTCATTCGAGTGTGTCGCCTTTGGGAAAATTGAGGCGGAAACGCGCCGCAAGTGGGAAAGCGCTGCAGTGTTTGCTCAGAGACAACAGCTGCCGACGCGGACGCTCGCTGGTTCTGTTTGTCTTGCACCTCTTGACAAAAGAATAAATGTACCCATCCAAACGGCGGCTCCATCGTTTCAGCGCTATTTTTGAGGGCAGAAATACTGTTGTTGCACATTATAATGGCGACCTGCAGCTTTGCTTCAATCCGTCCAAGTCTTAACCTCAGAGAAGCTGAAAGGAAAGTGTGGACGTGGAAGGGGACGAGGGTCGGCGAGGCGGAGCTGTCCGCGGTGCTGAACGCAGGCTTTTTGAAAAGGTCCCTCGCGATGCCGTCCGGCGAGCAAGTGAAACAAAAAGGGCTCGACCGTGTCGCTGCGTGAGCCACATGATGCGATTTGAATGGTGCAGCCGTGAAATTATTTATAGATGTGTTTGAGCTCGATTCCTATCTTGACTTTTCTATCCGTCGCCAGGCGGGGAGAGAGAGAGAGGAGGTGTCTGTCACATACTGAAACAAACACAGCCTAGAATGAATATTTAAAGAGGTACCACTGTTACCGGGAACCGGTGGAAGAAAAGGTCGTGGTGGTAAATTGCAGTGGAGAGACGGAGCGTAAGTAATCACAGAGGACGGACCGGTGTGCTTCTGTTGAGAAAACAAGGATCCGTGGCTCCTCCGGGCAACCTGCCCGTGTCTTTTATTGGGCTCCTACATCTCTGTCTGCCTCAGACTAGTCTCGCTCGCGCTTCCCGTTCTGCCCTCGGCCTCAACCCCATCACTCAGCGCCGCTTTTCCTCCGTCTTCATTCCTCTCCCCTCCCTCGCGTCCGACTCCACCTCTCAAGTCCCTTCCTCCTCCCTGGCGCGCAGAGGAAGCTCATTATGAGACATTTGGCTGCCGAGCATCACCTGTGGGCCGTGACAGCGAAAGCTTCGTAAGTCTCGTTTCTCCCCGTCTTCATTAGCTGTGGATGAACACCAGGCTTTGAATAAATCAAACCGTATGGCCACATATGGCGGCGGGGGGGGGGAAATCAACAGGAAACCAAAAACATAAGGAGAGGGGGAGTGTCAGCAGCCTTTTGGTCTCTCCGTCACAAACAGAAGAGGGGAAAGTAGCTTCCTTTAAAGCCTTTGGGCTGCCGGCTAACAAGCACGGGTAGCAGGGGTCGCCGCAAGGTCGCAGAGGAGGAGAGACGGACTGAAGGATGGAGTTCCCGTCAGCCACATCTGTGTGCCGGTGGAACAAAGAGAGTTCCGTCGCTCGGCTTTTAGCTTGTTTGCACGGGCTTCTCTGTTAAGTATGCCAACAGCGATGGTACACACACTGCAAGCCGCATCCTCACAGAGTAATCGCTTCGTGATCAAGCTAAAACATTCCAAGTGCGTCACTCGTTAGTAAATACAGACGCGGCGCCATTTACATCTAGAGAGGAGATTAGCTGCAAACTCCCAACAGCAAATTACGAGGACCACGCGGCTGGGAACGCAGCAGGAGCACTCATTTGCATCCCAAACGCTTGATTTAATGTCAGATTTTCTCACCGGTTACAGAAAACGCAGAGACCAAAACCCAGCTGCTTTCTATTTATTTATGCTCCTGCAAATGACCTGTCTGCCCCCCTGCTGTGGTGCAGCACAGAGGCTATAATTGACAAAAACAACCATTCATGGGAGTCCATTATTACCTCGCAGACGCAGGTAAGGATTCAGGATTTCCTAGAAAATGTTCCCTCTACAGCTCTTATATAGTTAGCTGATTTCCTACATTATCAGTGAATGCCTGGATATAATAATCTACATTTTGGGAATGACAAGAGGTGCTTTTTATGAAATTGAGTTGGAAGCTCTTTTGGCTGTCCGGGTCTCCAGAAGTTCAGACCAACATGTAAAATCATTACATTATCCGGAAGCCCAATGTTCCTTTAGTCAAAGGCTTTCTTTATTTTTGGAACACAAACGTCATGCAGCTATTTCAAAATGGACGAAACTGTATTCAATTCCGCATGCAGTCCTGCTCCCTAAACCCCCCCCGTCGCCATCCAGGAGCACAATTCGGCGGCAGGTGATTGACTGCAACCAGCTCCCTTTCAGAAGCATCGGCTTCCTTCCCCTCTTCAACCCCCAACAGACGGCGGCCGACGGCTCCGGTTGTCACTTTTCCGCCGCTGGCGAGGAGACGAGAACATACGAAACGCACACCGTCTCCTCGATGAGGTACAGACGAAGAGGAGGGACGCGCGGGGAGCTGCCAATCGACTCCCCGCGGGCACAGAAACTCTGAGGGAGTCCTCCACGATGTTTTGAAAAGAAATTGAACAAGGTAATAATTGAACAAGGTGACGAATCGTGCACAAATCCTGACACATTAACTCAAAGGTTTCTTTAATATCTCAGAGTGCATTCCAATCCATTACTCTGCAGTGCATCTGGGAGCGAGTGGCCTCGTTCTGGTTCTGACTTTCCATCAGTTAAGGTCATCAGTTAAGGTCACGAGCCACTGCGGACGCTCCAAACGGAAATGGTGAATTCCATTTATTTTTCTTTCATTCTCTCAACACTGGCAGAAAGGCAGCTGGTTCGGTGGCACCGCGGAAACAACAGGGGGCCACATTTGCATTTCAAAGGGAGCGCTCCACGGGAACCTTTAGGACCAAACAAGCGCCAAACGTCTCAGGTGAGATTATGTGCAGGTTTCCGTTGGAATGCGAGACTTTCAGTCTACAGATCCGATTCTTCCAGTTCGTCCCATTTAATTGGAATTCTGCCGACTTCTAGCAATATGTTCCTAACTCTATAATAAAGACATAACCGACAAAGCCCTAACCAATATCACCCACCACTGCTCTAACATGACGCGAATAATCATATTTATTACTTTGTCAGTTGATTTTGTGCATCATCAGTTAGACTTAGTAACGTATGGGAAGCACAAGCACACAATTAGGATTCTCCGCCAGTCGTTCAAGGTGACAGAAGCTTCGAAAACTCTCCGAAACAAAGCTCTGTCTCTATGGCAATCTATTATTATTATTATTAGCAGAAAACATCGGAGGAACAGTGGATGCAGACAATGCACAGTTGGATTCCACTCTGCACA